AAAAGGAAGATGTTGGTGGTTTCAACCTAAGCAAAGTGTACCAACAAGGTGTGCTTTACGTCTTTTAAAATGTGCTGCAATCAAAGCATATCATACTACTTATGATTTCATCACTCTTATAGATGGTAAAATAGGAATCTGGCTTAATGCCACCTAACTAATTGACAGGAGAGTCAGGATCAAGGGCCCAAAAAGCAGGATGATTGTTCCCTGTCTCACCACAAGCTTTTTCCTGCTTTTATTTTGGAGTCAATAATGGAACTCATAACATGCAGTGATCAGTCTAAAAAATAAAACTAAACACCCACTAACTTTTCCACTTGCTATAAGGGTGTAAGTACAGTGACAAGGCCTGGGGACGCCTCAGGAACCTATTCTGTCAGGCACACACCTAGGTGCAGGGTATGTCCAATCCAGTTTTACAGAAGTACCACAGGCTGCATCTGCTTAACCCTCTTTCCCACCTCTGGGAACAATTTCCTCCATCTTTGGAAAGACCATTACAGCAGGAACACTTAGGAGTTTAAGAGCAGAGATGAAAACTCCCTTTCCCCAGATGAAATTTATAGAAGTATGACTCTGGTCTCAGGAATGTCCAGATTCCAAATGCTGGACTCTTAGGAGGCTTTGCCTTCCACTGAAGAAAAAAGTGTTGCAGTACAAACCAGAGAAGAGACAGAAAAAGACACTCAAGCCCCAGGAGCTGAAGGGAAAGACCTCTTTCCATTCTTTGAAGAAAGACCTGACTCTGGATGGAATTTTTATTTTTCTCAGCACAATTAATGACCATAGTTGAAATCTCTCAAGCACCTCATGATTTTTGGTGGGGCATGGGGGAGATTGTGAAATCTACCCAAATGAAATCAGGCCTATGACTCACTGCACCAGTGGCACGTCCCATGTCCTGCTGGCTGGCTGCTTAGATCTAGGAGCCCTGTCTTCTTGCCATATGAAGGCCCCATCCCACACGACTGAAATATTCTTTCTTTGCCTATCTGCTGCTTCTCATGCTTTGGCTTCCACCACTTTGGGGGAGGGGTGCCTTTTTATGGGTCACTGACCCTACTATGTGCAGCCCTGGCATCTCCAGCTTGCCCCTAGGGTAACGTTCAGCCTACTCTGTTATACTTTTAATTTGACCTACCTTTCTTCTTTTACTGTGTGTGTATGTGTGGGGGTGAGGGGAAGAGGGCTGAAACTGTTTTATTCACTACACTTTTATGCTATGGGGTCAGGACAAAGAAATGAAAACTCAGTGTTATTTAGAGGTAGGGGGAGGGTCTATCAGTTCCATCTAGCTGTAAAAAATACACAGCTATGATATAATCATCACTTGTTTTAAGGCCAGTTAGGGTTTGCCCACTGGACTAAAATGTTTTATAAGGCTTCTGGAAGCTTAGAACCAAAGATTTGGGAAAAATGGGGTTCTGATTTTTTTTTTCTTCTAATACTTTGGGGGAATAAGGCCCATTACAACTAATGATCAGAGGTTATAACCAACCCAGGGAATTGTAATTTAAAGTGTTTGTCATTTGGAAAACCTCTAGGAATTGAAATGCTCTGGAAGATGCTAAAGCAATCAGACTTTCTTTCCCTGAGCAGCAGAGTGAAGAACACACATCTTGGATATGGACATCAAAAATTTTCCACATTTCTTACTATAAAGTCCAAAAAACAAATTTATGGGCTTTGGGTAGACAAAGGTGGGTTTGAATCCTGACTTTACTCTGCATTGGACAAATTATTAGCCTTCCTGAGCCTCGGATTCTTAAAATGTACTACAGGGTTACAATAGCACTGTCTTTGAAGAATTGTAAGGATTGGTCACGAGATATTTTATTAAAACACTTAGCACTAGGAGTTAGAGGTACAAATTACCCGAGTAAGAGGAAATAAAGAAGGAACACCGAGAGGCCTCTTGTATCTACGCCATGCTTTGTCTGCATGAGGGGAAAAGAAGTCTGATGCCTGTTGGTGAATTTATTGCTTTGTGGTACAATGGATTTTCCTAAAGCTGTTTCCCTCTGATCATTAATAATCCCTGTACAGTAAAGGGCTATTGTTCTTCAGTGTGAGTAAATAACCTTTTGGAGACACTGCTTATCTTCAGGCCACAGCACATACTTCTTACTGGAAATACAGTGCAGGTGCCAACACCAAAGGCATGACCAGGCTTTCCTTCCTATTTTTCTTCCTTTATCTCTTACTCCTTGTTTATCCTTTGGTTGCTTTTCTCCTAGATCTGTGACACTTCCTACTGTTTGGCACACACCAGTATCCTATACAATAGCGTCGTTACTATAATCAACCTTCAAGTGAAACTGGGCACCACGCACCCGTGGTCCTCTGCCTTCCTTCCCTTTCATCAAGCAACACAAACACACACAAACACACACAAACACACACACACACACACACCACCACCACCACCACCACCACCACATACAGAGACTTGTTTCCTGTCTTGGATTCAGTTTTTGGTTACTAGAATTCAAAAAGGGAAGTGTAATGCCACATACTTTTGCAAATCTCAGGATGTACTTGTGGGTGTGCTTCACCCTACCGCAGCTATTCTCTGAAACAGCATTTTTTTTTTTTACACACAGAAAGCGATGAGAATATTGGTATGTCAGAGACTGGGGGCAGGGAGGAAAGGTACTTTTATTTTACCTAAGAGAAATGAAACTCTCTGTAAAGGGGCAAAACTGAAATATCCAAAAGACTTCTAAACTAACTATCCCAAATAAGATCATAGGAGGTAAACATACCCATTCTAAAAAAAAATGTCCCTCAACTCGGACCTGATAAATTTGTCAAAAGTTGAAAACATCTTAAGTGGAAAATGCACGTGTTATACCTAAACTACCATCATGGCTTAGCAACACAGCACAATGTGAAGTCTTGGTTGCTCACCCTCATGGCCGAGTGGAAGTTCTGGGTGGCTAGCAGTGGCTGCCCTGTACTGGGAGAGTACTGGATGATATATTGCTAGTTCAGGAAAAGATCAAAATTCAAACACATATCACTTTCACACCATTGAAGTCAAGAAATCCTAAGTTAAACCATCGTTCAGTTGGGCCCATCTGTGTATTCCATCAGCACTGGAGTGCACACAAGATTATACTTGTGAAGGGGAACTCCAATCAGACCACTGTAACCAAGCTATATTGACCAATAGATATACAGGCTATTTACACTATAACCAAGATATATCAACCAATAGATATACAACTCTTATTCCCTTTAGGGAAACAAATTCTAAGTGAATTTCAAGTCACAGTCCCTCAATTCAAAAGAAATAGGAATATCTAGTTTCTTATCAGCATTTTTTTTTGCAGGGGGAAGGAACACTGGGGATTGACTCCTCCTGGAGTCAATATTAAAAATATTTTGAATCAGCATCTTGCTAAATTGCTCAGGCTGGCCTTCTCCATCCTCCTGCCTCAGCCTCCTGAGGCATAGGCATGAGCCATCATGCTTGCTCCTTATCAGCACATTTTAAGAGATAAAGACAAGCTGAGAGTCAGTAGGAGGTGGCAAAAACCAGTTAACTAGAAGTAAGTGGTGTCAAAGAAGTACAGGACAGGCTGGAATCAGACCAATGCTGAAGATCAACCAGTCATTCATAACCCAAGCCAGGATTTTCAACCTTTTATAGCAGCTAGGGAAGTTAAGAGAGCCAAAACATTAATCTAAATTCCTGTTTTCTGATAATTCTTAGAAACTGGATTAGGAAACTGATAAAAGGGTTAGATTACATTAGATACAGCTGGAGCTTTTTATTAGCAACTAACCCTAGCTCCAACTATTCAAGAGAAAACATCATTTGCACAAGGGACTAGGGCTTCAGAACATTTTCCAATCCACTACCAAATGAGCAACTTTTTCTTACTTTTCTGTAGGGACACTTCAGCTTCTAACCAGATTAAGTCCCTTAAGAGTAGGAGCAATGATTGTCCAGTCTTATGATATGAATGATAAGCAGCCAGAGTACTCTTAAGTTCCTCCAGTTTCAGCACTGCTCAACAAAACTTTCAGTGATGAAACTGTTCTGTCTGGGCTTGGTGGTGCATGCCTGAAATCCCTGCTACTTGTGAGGATGAGACTGATCAAGGCCAGCCTGTTAACTTAAGAGAGACCCTGTCTTCAGAAATATTTGTTCTTTCTGCCTCATTCAACAGGACAGACACCAGCCACATGTAGCTATTGAGTGTTTGAAATATAGTGTGTCCAAAGACCTGAATTGTTATTTCAAAGTCACATGTAACTAATAGATTTATATATATATATATATAAATAAAATAGACAACATAGCTCTAGACCAAAAAATGCAAATCAAATGTCCACAGGGGTCAGCCAGGCACTGGAAGGGAAAAGAGGCCTCCAGCATACTTGGGGAATAAGTCACACAAATGGGGAAAGCAGTTCTTAAGCTCAACGGACTTGCTGTGTAGGAATCTCAAAAGAACCTCAGGCTAGTGTCAGACTGTTTGATTTTTCAAATGAAGTTGAAAAATCTGGATTTTGATGCCCAATGTTGTCAAGTTAAAGAATTTACATTACTTTGTGGGCCCAAAAATATGTTTGTAAGCAAAATGTGTCCAGCCATTTTGCAACTTCTAATCTAGGCCAACTATTTTGGCTCAAAGGGCCTTATCCAAGGCCACTCTGCTGGTTAGTAGTAGATTTGAGATAGAAACCTAGTCCTTCTGATTCTTCTTCTGATATCTTTTCTACTAGATTATGAGATGGAACATAATTGTGATGATGTTAGCAGCAGCAGCAAGCACAAGAACCCCTTTGTCAAAAGCTACTAAATTCCATAACTGATAAGATATGAACTTTGTGTTCCTGTCCAGTAGAACCCCATGTTGTACCCTACCAGGCGAGGCTCTGTACCAGGAGTCAGGAAGACAAAAAGATAAAATAGTCCAGGAGAAAGACAGACATGTAAATAAACATTTATCAAAGTCATCTTTTCTATAATGGATGCAAATTACCTGTGCATAAGTCCAAAAGCACTGACAGCTGGGAGAGGAAGGAAGGATTTGAGCCAGACCTTTGAGGATGCATCTCACATCATGAGGGTGGGTCCATTATTCCAGTATATTAAGGGGGACGACTTCTTTTATCTTTGATGTCTTGTCCATATTAAGTCTCCTTTACTGGTCTCTCCCTCTCTGGGTAATCTCTAAGTGTTACAAGCCCAAGGAGTTTGGGAATCTCTACCCTGTTCCTAGGTGACCGAGGAACAGACTCCGCCAAAACACACACACACACACACACATATTTATTATCTCCAATTACTACTTTCCCCCTAACTTGAATACCTGACTTCTCTCAACATCTTTCATTGTTAGCTCTGTTCAGGAGAACTTAACAACATTCTTTTCCAAACTCTTTTCACTTTGGGAGTGATCCCTGGGTTCCACCCTCTCCCACACACTTCACATCCAATTGGAAGCAAGTCCTGCAAACTCCAAAAATACTCCCCATCTCTTTCTCTCTCTTTCCACAATGAAGGCCCTTTCAACAAACACTATTGTCACCTCTCCCTTGGCCTAAGGCAACAGCCTCTCCACAGGTCTGACTACCATTCTCCATCCGGCAGCCAGAGTGATTTTTTAAAAATTATTCTTTTAATTGTCGATGGACCTTTATTTATATATATATAAAGTGCTGAGAACTGAACCCAGTGCCTCACACTTGCTAGGCAAGCGCTCTACCACTGAGCTACCACCCAGCCAGGCTACAGTGATTTTTTTAAAAAAATGTAAATCAGGTCAGGTCACTATCCTACTTAAAATCCTTTGGTACCACAAAAGCCAAATCCTTGCCTTGGGCAAAAAGGTTTTGCCAATTCTTCAGCTTCAACACTGAACACTGCCCATTTCTGCTTCAACCACGTGGTCCTCCCACCAGCTCTTTTCTCCACCTAGAAAGCACATTCTTCCTTCTTCTCAAACCGTGACCACCTCTGACAGTCTCACCCTATGTAGAGCAGCCCTCCCACCATCTTCCATCTCTGCACCGGGCATTTCTCACTTGTGGATATCTTCTGAATTGATTGACTTGTTGACTCCTGCACTAAAATGTTCTCAAGTCGGCTGATCAGGGAGGTACGACGCTGACTCTCAAGTGTCCTACAAAGTCTCCGTTTCCGTGCGGGAGCTAGTTTAGGCCGACCTGCCTAAGCCAGGCGCCTCTCGCCCCCAAAACTGCCCCCGTCTTCTCGCATCTACATTCGGGGATCCAAAAGGTTCAGAGAAGTCTCAGAGGGACCCCCAAACCAAGCCTCCCTCTCCTCGCCCATTTCCCGGAGCCAGGTCCCCGAGGCTAGTGGCGATGACACCAAGCCGCCCTCGCGAGGCTGGGGTCACACAGGCGCGTCTCCTAGCGACGCCGCACCCGCACCCCGACGGCATCCCTGCCTCTGGGGAGCCAACCCCTTCCCCCGGTTCCCGGCGCCAGGAGTCAGAGTCTCCATCCCTTACACTCACTCTGCGTCAGTCCTACCTGCCCCCACCCACAGAAGCGCCGCAGCCCCTGGCTGGCAGGGAGGAGGCGGCGCCAGGAGGTTTGCAGAGCGGTGGCCGACCGAGCTCCGGCAGGTCGGGTAGGACAGGCCGGACCAAACCACCGGGAGGACTAATGTGGGAGCATGAGTCCCAGGTCAGGGGCAGTCTCGAGCTTTCCTAAATTTCCAACTATATGCCGTTCTTCGTCGCATCCAACAATGTACCCAATCTCATACTCTTTTGTTTTTGACCCTTCACCCCTCTCGCTATCCTGCTCCCCCATTCCAGTCAAAAAATGGTCCAGCCCAGCTCCATGTAGCCTTCCCTCCTGGTGGTACGTCTTTGCCCTTACTTGGCTATGGCTTCGTACGTCTTTGCGTACGCCGTGACGTAATCTTCCACCCGTTCCCTCCCCGCCCCTCTCCCATTCTCCCTCCTGGAGCTAGCGGCCGGCGGGGTTACCGGAAGTGATGATGCAGGAGGCGATGGAGGGGGCGGGGCTTCGGGGCGGCCGCCGCCGGTGGGCCGCAGATGAAGAGGAGGCGGCGGCAGTGGTGGAAGAAGAGGCGGCGGCGGCGGGGGTAGGGAACCTGGAAACGCGAACGGGGATGGTAGGTGGTTTGGACCCGCCGAGCCGCCGTCGTTTCCAGAAAGGGTTTGACTGGAGGAACCTCTGGAGCAGCTGTGAGTTTGGGGAGGGGGGAGTTGAGGAAAAGGGGGGAGCATTGAGAGATGCAGGGGCGGGGGTTGGGTTCCTTCGAGAAAAGCGGGGTGGAAGGGGAGGAGTGGAAATCAGCGCCTTGTCTGGACTGGTCCCCCAGGAAGAAGAGGCTGTGAGGGGAGCCTGTGGCGTGTCAGCCGCAGGGCTCAGAAAACTTGCCTACTGTCCCTGCCTCCCACGGCCAGCACCCCTCAACCCAGGGCCTGGGGGTCTGAGGCCGGAACTGCCCTGGAGGAGGTGCAGACTCTGGTCCTAAGTCCCGGGTGAGCGCTGAGAGGTAGGAGCCCGAGGGGGAGACGGTGGGTGAATCTCCAGCTCCCTCCGCCTTCATTTTCCTCCCCACCCCCATCCGTCTCTTTAATCGTTAACAGCCCCGGAATTAAGGGGCTCCGACCTGAAGGCCTTTCTGTGCACCTTTGCTGTGAACGATAACCATCTGTGCCTGAGGTAATGGGGCTGGAGGCTTTGCCTGTATCCTGTATAGGAAGTGGGATGGGGTGACAATTGTATTGTTTTTTCCAACCCCCCCTTACCCCCATACACACCCCTCGTTTCCACTTTAATTCTCTGTGGCTGAGTGTCAGCCGTGGTCCCCCCCTCCCCCGCCTTTATGGCACTTAGTATCTTGGTTACCTCTTTTGAATTAGGTGTTCACCTTCTATCCCAGATCTTAACTGCAAGCTTTGTAATACTTCAGTCACAGGCTGTGCATTGGGAGTACTTCTCAGCGCCTTGTAGCTTCCTATTATAAGGAGGAGCAATTTCTTTTATGAATAGTGGAATTCTAAAGCCTTTGCAAGGAATCCTAAATGGCATCATAGCCCAGGAATCAAGGTCTCTTGCTCTAAATACTTTATGTGTGAGGAATTTACATGTTGTCAACTCTTTCCAGAATGATTTGATGTTAGGCTAATTCTGGATTTCTCTGTTTCTCTCCACCCACACTTCATGATGCACTTCAGAGAACAGAAAACCCCATATTACTTTTTTGTTTCTACAATTGGACAATGGCTCTTTTATCTTTTTCTCCATTTGTGTCTGGCACACACGTCTTCAGTGACACAATCGACTTGTGCTGATTTTCATCTTATTTGTTTAGCTGATTCTTTGTGTATAGGTGGTCTCAAATGAGACATTGTGATCTGTTCAGTTTTATTGTAAAGAAGAATATAAACCAGTAATGGGTGTGGAAAAAATGTTCGAAGAAAGCAAAGAATAACTGGAAAGATGTCTTTGATATTCTGTTGTTTAAAAAAAAATCTTCAAGTAGCATTCCTCTAGCCTGTCATGTGGATTTCAGAGTGAAGTATATTGATTCTTGTTTTGGTGTTGGTCTTTTTTTTTGTTTTTTAAGAAATTCTCTGTTGAATCTGAAACTGTCTTCTTAAGAACTTTGATAGTGCCTAAATTTTAGGTGTCCTTTGATTAGAAAGTGTGTATAAATCCTGTCCCTCTGTAACTGAGCTTGATATGCATTTTGCTAGAAGAATTATCGTAATAGATGTTCTTCTGGTGCTGGAAAGACATTCCTATTCCATTTATCAGGTCTTTTAGGCCTGATAAAACAGAATGCTTAATGCCTTGATTGCACAACTAACAGTGTGCTTGATGTTTCATGAAAGAATAACAAAAGAATGACTGCTGTTCTTACCTTAATAAATTTGGAGCCTTTTTTGCCATTGAACGAAAAGTCCAAAATTCATTCAATCAACAAACATTTATTGACTGGCTACTAAGTGCTAACCAGTGTACAAAGGTGAACACAAGCAAAAGTCTACTCTGTATTGGAGCTTAATTGAAGTGGGGGTGGGGTCAGTGAGATAGTACATAAAGAAATCTAATTTTGATTACGTGCTCAAGAAAATGAATGTTGTGATAGAAAATGTTTGTAATGCAAATCAAGAAACATCTTTCTCCCCTTTTTTTGGTTCTGAACCCAGTGGCACTTTACCACTAAGCTGCATCCCCATCCCTTTATTTTTTAATTTGAGACAAGTGCTCACTAAATTCTTCAGGTAGGGCCTTGCTGAGTTGCTGAGGCTAGCCTTGAACTCCTGATCCTCCTACATCAGCCACCTTAGTTGCTGGGATTGCAGGTGTGTGCCACCACATCTGGCTTCAAGAAAGATTTTTCTGAGGTGATACTTAAGCTGAGCTTTAAATAAATAGCCAGCCATGAAAGATAAGGGGAGGAGCCTTCCAGGTTCAGCGAATGGTTAGTGCAGAAACTAGCTGGAATGAACTTGGCAAGTTCCAGAGACTGGGAAGAAATTGGTGGAAGGAAGGGGAAGAGGGCAGTAATAGCCAGAATAGGGAGCAAAATGTTGAGTAAAAAGAGGGTCAGAGAGGTGGAGGTAGGGCTCAGAATAGGTAGAAAAATAAAGGCTAAAAGGATGAGGAAATAGGTAATGAAGCTCCTTTTTGATTAAATCTATTACATTTCTAAGGGTCTTATCACTGTTTTTGCAGGTACTGTAGGACTATTGTAACAAAAAGTCACCCAGCTGAGAGTGGGAAAGGAGGAGGCTTTGGGATGTTCAGTTGAGGGCATACTTTAATGCATGCTAGTATGTGAATCTTTCATCTCTGTGAATTTAAGGTTGAAGGATCAGGCATGTGTTAATACATGCCCTGTTGGTCTACAGAGATGACCATGAAGATCCAACTTTAAAGCTGTTTTTTTGTGGGGAGGAAGACTTTATGTTGCAATAGTCCACTCTTGTCTGGTCCTCCTGATGGCTAATAACACCCAGCTGATCTGTACTAAAAGTTACTCAATGGATTATATTAGATAATGACCACCGTAGGGCTCATTTCCACTATGTTGGCATCTTTGGGTTGGCACATAACCAAGGCCTTTTGTTGGAGGTACAGTGTACTGCTTTGGAGCCTCACCTTGACCAGATTGTCCACTTGAGAGGTCTAATAAAGACTTCTCCTTGATTTGGCCCTTTTCAGCCATATCACAGTGGTCTGAAACAGAAAGAATATGCTTCTTCTTTTTTTTTTTTTTTTTTTGAACTTTACAACAGTAACTAGTGTGTTCTTTGAGTGAATCAGCCTTTTGAGCCAGGCAATTAAAAGACTTAAATGTTGCTTAGGCTATTTGAAGTAAACTCAGTATTAGAAATGTTTAATAAAACCTCTTAGTGTTTGGGAAAGATTAATAAAAAATTGAGAATTTGTCACCTTTTGTAGGTTCTGGTATTGTGATAGCACCTATAGATGGTTGTCAGAATGAACTTGAATGGAGCTTTCTGGGGTAGTTCTGGGCAATGAAGGGATGCAGCAGAGCCTGGTACCGAATTCTGATGTGAATACAGTCAAAACCTTACCAAGCAAATGACTAAAGTGAACAGCTTAGGGCGAGGCAAACAATAGACTCCACCCTTCATACTTTCAGTAGAACTAAGAAATGGACAATTGGTAGTAATATATGCACACATACACGTGTACATATGTGTGTATATGCATACATGAATGTAGGTGTATACAGGTACACATATATGCATATAGATACACACCTGTGTTTATGGATGTACACATATGCGCATACGTACATATATTAGCCACACATTTGGTTTGGCCCAGGTTAAAGATTTTGAACTTAATTTTGTATGTTCCTGCTAGGCATAAAATGCTCTATACAGTGGGTTATTAAGCTGTCCACTATTTATCTTAATTTCAATTGTTTATTATAACTCAAGAATGAAAATATCCTGTAGGCTGAAATTTCATCAGCCAGTTTGAAGACTGTGGGCTCTTTTCTAATTTTTGAAAGGGGGTGGATGGGTAGGAGGGGACTTGAACACAGGGAGAGGCCATTGACTCCTACATTGGCCACTAATTGTGTTTGGAGAAAGAATCTGTAAATCCAAGTACATTTGGAGCCTTGGAGCTAGGTTGGCCTTTTAATGTAGGGTACCAGTGAATTTGTTTCTTAATTAGATGGAAGCTTTGGGCAAACTCTTCTGAAAGGTGTACACCTAAAAAGTCAGCTGACGCCACTTGGTGTTGGAGTTGTGGGTAAGTGGTTTTGCATCGCATTAGATGACTTAAAGTTGATCTGATTTTGTTACTGTTTGATATATGTTCTGCAGTAAGGAGAGTTAATTGTACACTGGCTGCCAGTTGTTTTGAGGTGAAGAAGTGGTAACTCAGATTGAAACAATGGTAATTATGTGGTAACTTCTATTTCCCTAGCTCTTGATAACTTACAATTACCTCTTTGTGTCTGTTTATAGATGTTGATACCATTGAACCTGGATCGGTTCTTCCTAATGTTGGGACAGTGGCTGGAGCCCTTTGCACATCAGGGTCAGTTGAGTCAGTGTCCTTTAGTTCAAATCTGATTTCGCTAGCTCTGTTTTGATAGGTGATAGAGGGTCTTATTTGAGGGGGGGGGAGCCAAAAAGGGAGATTGGGGGGGATAATAGAGAAAAGGTAGGAAGTGGCTCAATCTCCAGTTCTTTGAAATTGTGGTATGCTGAAAAGAGAAAACAGCAGGGGGGAAATGCCCAGTCATCTTTTTTAGGATGTGTGCAAATGAGATGTCATTTTAATACCATAAATCAGAATAGGGAAACTCAGTAAATTGGTGACTAGCCCTTGTTATGACAGAATAAGTCACTTCCCCAGCATCTGGTTACCAACCTGATTGCACAGATAGGTAGACATCTGTGTCATCCTGAGGGCTTGGCCTTGCCCAGGTGTGTCCTTTGGGCTGAGCTGCACTGTTGGCTTTTGAACTGAATTGCATCATGGGAGCCTAAATTACATAGCTTTGGGAAGCATCATCCATGTTCCAGTTGTGCTCTGTCTTGCTAGAGGACTAAACCTGGCAAATGGAAATAATTCTGTGATGAGACCTATAAAGATGATTGACTGAGGATCTTGGATATCACCCCTGCATAGTATAGGACTTTTTCATTTTGGAAGAGAGTTTACCTTCTTGTTGCCATTGCCTTACTCTCTGCCTGTTAGTCTAGGAGACAGTGTTGGAAGGACCTGGCTCCTTGTTTTAGTAATAGATTGCTACCACACTATTAATCAGCAGAATTTGACTACAGCTTTTAATTCTATTTTGTTCTTGAAGTTATTTGGACTCTTCAGTGTTGACCTGAACTGGACTGGAGTGTGACTTCTAATTTTGGTTCTGAGCAAGACTCAGGTGGTAGCATTTTTTGAATACAGTTAATTTCACTTCCTTGAGTTTAGGAAGAATCAGGAAAAAAGTCAGATCCTTGCAGAACCTTAGAATATTTATTGTGATTTTTT